GGGATTTTTGTGGGATAATTGGGAATGATGAGGGGTTCAGATTTCCAGGAATGAGGGATTCAGAAAACCGGGAATGATGGGGGGGCTCAGAAAACTGGGAATGAGAGCTGGAGATAAATTGGGAATGAGGGGTTTGGATTTCTGGGAATGAGGGATTCGGATAATTGGGGATGATGAGGGGTTCAGATAATTTGGGAATGAGGGATGCAGAAAACCGGGAATGAGGGATTCAGATAATTTGGGAATGATGTGGGGTTCGGATAATTTGGGAATGGGGTTCAGATTTCTGGGAATGAGAGCCGGAGATAATTGGGAATGAGGGATTCAGATAATTTGGGAATGAGAGCCAGAGATAATTTGGGAATGAGGGGTGCAGAAAACCAGGAATGAGGGGTTCAGATAATTGGGAATGAGGGATTCAGAAAACCAGGAATGAGAGCCGGAGATAATTTGGGAATGAGGGATACAGAAAGCCGGGAATGAGGGAATCAGATAATTGGGAATGAGGGGTTCAGAAAACCAGGAATGAGGGGTTCAGATTCCTGGGAATGAGGGGTTCAGATAATTTGGGAATGAGAGCGGAGATAATTTGGGAATGAGGGATGCAGAAAACCGGGAATGATGAGGGGCTCAGAAAACTGGGAATGAGAGCCGGAGATAATTTGGGAATGAGGGACTCAGATAATTGGGAATGAGAGCCGGAGATAAATTGGGAATGAGGGGTTCAGATTCCTGGGAATGATGAGGGGTTCAGATAATTTGGGAATCAGGGATTCAGATAATTGGGAATGATGAGGGGCTCAGAAAACTGGGAATGGCGGATTTAGAAAACCGGGAATGAGAGCCAGAGATAATTTGGGAATGAGGGACCCAGATAATTTGGGAATGGGAGCCGGAGATAATTCGGGAATGAGGGGTTCAGAAAACCGGGAATGAGGGATTCAGGTAATTTGGGAATGAGGGGTTCAGATCTCCGGGAATGTTTTGGGATGGGAGAATTCCCGGTTTTTCTGTGGATTCTCGAAGGGATTCGCTGGGAATTGAATCCTGGCCCTGCCTCAACTTCCCAGCCGGGAATTCTGGCCCAAATCCCAAATTTCTCCCGGTTTTTCCCAGGGAATTCCAGCCCAAATCCCAAATTTCTCCCCCTTTTCCCAGGGAATTCCCTGGGAAAATGGGAATTTGGGAAGGAATTCCTGGGGTATCCCAAAAAAAAAACCAACC